ACAGAGATCCGCCTGCCTCTGCCTCCCAAGTGCTGGGATTAAAAGCATGCGACACCACGTCTGGCACCAGTACATTTTATGTACATGCAGGCAAAACACTCACACACATAGAATAATTTTTTTTTAAAGTTCAAGACCAGACTGAGCTATATAATGAGTTGCAGTCCAACCTGGGCTACACAGATAAGACCCCAGAATGTAGCCCAGGCTGTATTTGGACTCCACAACTCAAACCATCCTCCTACTTCAGCTTCCTGAGTAGCTGGGACTATGGGGCATTCCTGCCCCACTGTACCCAGCTAAGGCATTGTTCAGAAATTCCTTATTGAATAGAACTATTGTGGACATAAACTGAAGTTCCTAAAAGGAAGAGAGGAAGAGGAGAGAGAAAGAGAGAGAGAGAGAGAGAGAGAGAGAGAGAGAGAGAGAGAGAGAAAGGGGGGGGGGGGGGGGGAGAGAGAGAGAGAGAGAGAGAGAGAGAGAGAGAGAGAGAGAGAGAGAGAAACTGTTTTAAAGATTCTACAAGGCCAAATGACTATCAAGATTACAGCGAGTTATGTTACAGACCAGAACCAAATTATCCTGGGCTACTTTTAGTCCTTTGAAAGCCATCCATTGCCCATCCCTGTGTCTGACCTAAGATTCTTATGACTAGCAAACCCTATAACGTATTCTTAGCAGACCATGAGCTTTCCCAGGCTAAGAATCCTGTCAGATAACATTTCGCACCTAAGGCAGAGTTTTTCCTCACTTTGCTATAAACCCCCTCCCCTCACAGTTGTGTCTCCCATGAATATGTTTGGTATATACTTTGATTTATGACTTTCTTTGTTCTGTACCTAATAAAAATCTCATATAATCATTTCTACAGTGGAACACTGTACTTGGGGAAACCTGAATCTGTGTTTCTAGGCCATGGTCACTCATATTTGGCTCCAGAATAAACTCTCATTCCCTCTGAGTTGAGAACTGTGTTTTGCATCAACTTCGATATAGAATAAGCATGAGCAGGTGTTTGCTTCAAACTTCATTAGAAAATCTTAAGACTCACAGAAGCTTGAGACCCAGATGGATGAGTTTTATGACTGAGCTTGTGACAAACAACTATCATTTAAAATTGCGCTTGTTCAATGGGATCCCTGCTTCTGTTTTATCTGTGGGCTTCAGCTTGGACCCATTTAGGTTTAGCCTGCTGGGATTTGGTGCCTCTTGTAGGCTTGCAGGGCTGTGATCCTTGCCTTGACTTGCCACTTTCATGCCGGGCCCTTCCTATGTCTCCTGGCACCACCTGCTGTTGCACAGCTACTCCCTGGGAGTCGGAGCATCTCTGCCTGGAGTGGAGCTGATAGGACCCAGGAAAGTAAATGCAACTTAAAAGTCTCGGGGAGCTCCTGAAACTTACAAGATTCAGAAGTCCCTGTCCCCAAGATTATATAAATAAGAATGGCTGGACAGAAGAGTCTCACCAGCCAGCAAGCCATGCTGAGATGCTGAGATACCCAGGCACAGAGCTTTCATGAGTCCTATCAGGGGTGCAGCTGTCTCTGAGTCAGCTATGCTCCTGTAAGTAACTCCTCACCATACTCTTGTAAGCAACCCCAATAAACTCACTGATTACTAAACTAGACTTTGGTGGAATCCTCTCTTTGATCTGTCCTATTGGGGATAAATAGACATTAGTTCGTGTTTCTCCAGGGAGAGTCATCCAACACCTGCCTATCCCTAGGTGACACTGACACATCTTAAGAACTGGGTATTCTTACTCCACTGTCCCACACAGGTAACTGCAGAGCCTGACATGCATGCACATGTACCTAGCCCCTCAGAGTCAGAGAAAGACACTGCTGAGCCAGAGGGACCAGTTTTATTAGATTCCAGCAAGACTATACAGCAGTTTCATGCAGATTAAATATATGTCTTCACTGCCCCCAGGGGGGGAGCACTTTCACTGCTCGCTCCTTCACGGTGTTTCAAGGGGTAGGTATTAAGGGGATCCCTCAATATATTCTGCATGGGGAACAGTTGGGATCATGACTGGGGGTGGAGGTGAGACTGTGGGCATCTGAGAGCCCCTGGGACCTTGAGTCTTCAGAGGGTCAGGGGCCATAGGACCTTGGTCCTTTACTAGTGCTGGCACCAGGGGATCTTGACCCTTTAGCGGAACTGGGATTATAGGGTCTTGATTCTTCACAGGTCCAAGGACCACAGGACCTTGATTCTTTGGAGGCTCTGGGACCATGGGACTTTGATCCTTGGCTAGTGCTGGGATAGTGGGTTCTTGGCTCTTCACAGCCTCAGGGACCACTAGACCCTGGTTCTTTACAGGTGCCACAACCACAGAATCATGTCCTTTCAGATGCTTGGGGACCATTATATCTGGATCCTTGACTGGCTCTGGGTCTGCTAAGCCTCTATTCTTCATGGGCTCAGAGACCACTGGAACTTCATTCTTCATAGTTGCTGTGACAGTGACATTTTGATCTTTCTTATGCTCTGGGACCATGGGAGCTTGTCCCTTCCCAGGCTCAGGAGCCATAGGACCTTGATCCTTCAGAGATGTTAGTACTACAGAACTTTGATCCTTAACTCTTGCTGGCACCAAAGGACTTTGATTCTTTAGAGGCTCTTGGACCACAGGGCCTTGATCTTTGGTGGGTGCTAAGATAACAGAATCTTTATTCTTTAAAAGCTCGGAGGCCATGTGATCTTGATCCTTGCCTGAGGCTCCTCCTTGATCCTTTGGAGGCCCTGGGACTGCAGAACTTTGCTCCTTTAAGGACCCTGGGACCACAGGGACTTGATCCTTTGGAGGCCCTGGGATTGCAGGACTTTGATCCTTTAAGGACCCTGGGACCACAGGGACTTGATCCTTTGGTGGTCCCAGCACCATGGAGCCTTGATCCTTTGGAGACTCTTGGATCACAGGACCTTGGTCTTTCAGAAGCCCTGGGACCACAGGACTTTGATTTTTATGTGTATCACCAGCAAGTTGGACTGGGCCCCTGCAAAGGAGAGAAAGGTGGTCACTAAGGGCAGAGTTCTGGCCAGGGACAGGGCAGAACACAGATTGCCTGATGAGACTTGGCCTCGTGGGCCTGGACAGGGCAGCTCTTACTGGAGGAGTCAAGCAGAAATTGGATTTCTGCATCAGTAGGGTATACAGGGTGGAAGTGGGGCAGGATGGGAAATCGGTCATTCAATGTGTTTGCCAATTGATTATAACCTGCAAGCAGCAAAGTGGGTGATACCTGGGAGATGGCAACAGTAGTGCCCTTGGACTTGAATCATCCAGTGGGCATCCCAGCAGCCCACCCAGCCCACACTCCACCAGCCCAACTTCTTCCCTCTAGGATTACCGGCCCCATCTTAGCTACCCACTCAATGCTTCTGCAGACCCCACTACTCTGTCCTTTTTCTAGGTCCTTCCAAGGTTCCTTTTATGCCTTGATTCTGTTATTAAGGGCTGGGTTCTGGCAAGGGCAAGACATCTACATGGTGATAACAGAAAGCGAATCTGCTTTTAACATGACCACTTTTAACTTCTCCATGGACAGTGCATCCCATTATTGCCTGTACCGTTCCCACTCTCACCCGCTGCTTTGATAGACAACTGGCTAGGGCTCCCCATTCAGACCTTGGTCCCTTCCCTACACTCCTACTTCCATCCCCTCTATCCTCTTCAGACTCTTGCCTTCATTTGCTCCAAGGCTCCTGGGCTTATTTCCCTGAAACCAAGTGCTCTGTTCCCTCCCCAGAGTCCTCAGGTGATGCTTGTTCCACATAGCTAGCTGACTCCAGCCACCTGCTCCACTCCTTGGCCCAGAGAGCATGTGCAAACAATGTCGCCTGAGAGCAAACACTGCTAACTCAGATCTAGCTGTTCTGGAACCTTTTGGTCTATGGCACGCACAGCTTCCTTGTAGGTTAAGCTGAAAGTTGCCACACAAGAGTGGCATTACTCAGCCAGTGTCACAAACCCTTGCACACCTAGGCATAATCTGCCTTCCAAATCACTTCTTTCCACCGCTCATGCCGGCAACACAGCAGCCCTGTGAAATGCACAGGTATGAGACATACAGCAAGGGTTTTAACCCTCCTCATTGTTAGACCCATAAAGTGAGGTATGGAGAGGGCATGTGATAAAGAAGTCAGGGAACTGCAGGGATTAGAACCCAGGACCTCATTCATACTGGGTAAATGCTGTGCCATGTCCCTAGCCTAGCTCTTTCTACTTCATAAGCTGCTTTACTGAGATTTCCACCTGATGATCAATGACTTTTTTTTTAAGCTAGGGTCTCATGTAGCCCAGGCTGGCCTTGAACTAGCTATGTAGCCAAGGATGACTTTGAGCTTCTGATCCTCCTGCCTTTGCCTCCAGAGTTCTGGGATTACGGGGTGTACCACTATGCTGCTTCTTTATCATGGAGTGCTGGGGATCGAACTAGACAAGCACTCTCTGCCAACTGACATATCCCCAGTCCCTCCCTACCTGATTTTATTTTCTTAGCTTATTATGGTTTAATTCCTCTGGGCATTGGGCTTGTCATCTAGTCATTGGTTATAATGATATTTATCCAGAAATTTGTGATGAATGAGAGTGAAGGGCAGGAACACAGAGCATGTTGCGCCATGTAGCATTAGGCAGTATTATGATTTCCTATTTACTTAGAAGTAAAACTGTGCATCTTTGGACTACGTTTACGCTGTAGTATCCTCCTGATCTAGATGATTTTAATGTCTGTGGCATCTCATTTTTTTCACTCAGGGACTGCTGTTTCTCAATAGATTGCACAGTGATACGAGAGGCCCACATGTTCTGTCCTCTGCTGTCACTGAGCATCATGGCAGAGAAAGGGTGGGGCAGCCTTTGGGCTCAGCACTACACACAGCCCAGCTGTCCTGACCAGGTTGTCACTATAGGATCTTGGAGTGTGAGGAGAGTCAGGCAAGGCTGTGAGGGCATGCAGAACCCAAACATGGTACTAACGCCCCTCCAGAGCTTGGTGGCTGGTCAGAGAGGAAACGTAAAAGTTGAATTTAGAATAGAATCAGGCAGCAAGTTGAGTATATTTATCCTCTCAGGTCCTCAGGTGACTTGGGTGGGGTCACGAAGAAGCTCAAAAAAAATAAAAGATCATGGCTAAACTTGATCTCAGGGGCTTGACTCCAGCCCATTGGCAGGACATTGGCGCCCCCTGCTGGCAGAGAGTTCATAAACAAGGGTGGCCCTAGATCCTGGGTTAGGAAGTGAGCCTCTTTGGGTGTTTGGGTCATTGGCTCTTAAGACATTTTTATTTACTGAACACTCTGAGCCAGTTGTGATCTAACCCTATATTTTCATATATAAATGACCCCATATTGATAGATCTGTTAACTTTTTTCCTTAGTTAAATGTCATTAATCATGAGTTTTAGAATTAAGATTAGAAATGAGGTCTGGCAAGATGGATCACAGCTAAGACACCTGCCACCAAGCCTGACCAACCTGAGTTCAAATGAACTAACTCTCACAAGTTGTCCTCTGACCACCATATGTGCACTGTGGCATGCACGTGCCCACACACATGCACACATACATACATAAATGTAATTTTCAAAATTTTTAAAAAGATTAGAAATTAGTTAAATCAAATCTAAAACCTCCTCTTTTTCTTTCTTTTGATTTTTTTGGAGACCAGCCCCAGCTAGCCTGGAACTAGCTATGTAGACCAGGCAGGTCTTGTTCTCAGAGAGATCTGCCTCCTGAGTGCTGGGACTAAAGGTATGCACTACCACACCCAGCTTTTTCTTTCTTTCTTTCTTTCTTTCTTTCTTTCTTTCTTTCTTTCTTTCTTTCTATATCTAAATTAGTGCACTACTTAGCTTATATGAGCCTAACCATTTCAATGGTTCCTTTCTTTCTTTCCTTCCTTTCTTTCTTTCTTTCTTTCTTTCTTTCTTTCTTTCTTTCTTTCTTTCTTTCTTTCTTTTTTTCTTTCTTTCTCTCTCTCTCTCTCTCTTTCTTTCTTTCTTTCTTTTGGTATTAACTTTAGGAAAAGTCTGTTTAGATTTAGTTCAGAGGTATGTGTAGAGTTCAAGATACTTTAGCATATTCGACTAGCTAAATGCTTAGCTTTACGGTTCTGATATAAAACATGTAATGGAATAATTAAGTTAGGCTCATAAATTATTTCATTTTTTCTTAAGTACTTTTTGCAAAAATCAGGACATCAAACAAATAATTAAAACTCCTTTGGGGGAAGTTAGGGTTGTAGTTCAGTTAGTAGAGTGCTTGCCCAGAATACACAAAGTCCTGGGTTCCATCTCTAGCACCACATAAACTAGACATGGCGGCACAGGCCTATAATCCCAGCAGTTGGGAGGAGGAGGCAGCAGGAGGATCATAAATTCAAGGTCACCCTCAACTACATTACAAGTCGGAGGCTAGCCTGGGCTACATGAAACCCTATCTTAAAAAGCAAAAATTCTGAGCTGGGTGCCTTTAATTCCTGCACTTGGGAGGCAGAGGCAGGCAGATCTCTGTGAGTTCAAGGCCAGCCTGGTCTACATAATGAGCTCCAGGCCGGCTGGGGCTACAGGGAGACCCTGTCTCAAAAAGACCAAAATACTATCAAAACAAAACAAAAAATAAACAAAAGTACTTTCTGTGGCCAGTGAAATGGCTCATTGGGTTAAGGCATTTGCTACCAAGCCTGAAAAGCTTTTTGAGCCCTGTGACAAACATGGTGAAGGAGAGAACAGACTTGAAAGTTGTTCTCTGACCTCCGCACTTGGCACCAGGGCATGCATACCTGCCCTCAAATACATAATAAAATGTAATTTAAAAATTTAAAAGAGAAGCTGGGATTGGTGGAACATGTCCTTAATCCCAGCATTCAGGAGGCAGAGGCAGACGGGTATGTCTGAGATCGAGGACAGGTTGGTCTACAGAGAGTTCCAGGCCAGCTGGGGTTACAGGGAGACCCTGTCTCAAAAAGAGAAAAGAAAAGAAAAGAAAAGCAGCTTCTGGGATGTAATACTTATGAGGAAAACCTGAGCATGTGCCTACTATATTTTATCAAAAGTAAAATCTGAGAGTAAAAGTGACTCAGGTAATTTAAAGATAAGTGACACTGGGCCTTTCAGATAAACAGCCCAAGTGGCAGAACTCTAATTTTTCTTCATGCTGGCAAAAGCAAAATGAAAGTTCTGTTTTGTAGCCTGGCCACTTGGTAAATGGCAAACTCAAACACTGAGGAATGGCTGTCGCTCCTGGTGGCTGACATTAGACAGAATGAAGCTAAGATCTGCATGCCTCAGCGTGTCTGTAGACCTCTATGGACAGAGAAGCTTCTGGCTTAGCCCCAGCCTGGCCAGCAGCGTACTGGCAGGTTGTTTCCCTTGCAGCTCTAGGCTAGCCCTTTACCTAGTTAGAGAATATGAGACAGTTGTTAAAATTTCATAAACAACTGTTGAACTTTTATGGAAACCCATTAGCCATCATATTTTATGCTTAATTTGAATTATTTATAATTTCATGTGAATTATTTAGAGGAGTTGAATTAAGATATAAATCTTCCTTTAAAAGATTACTGGATTTTTTCTATTTTCTTATTTTTATACATTAGGCATTGATTTTGAAAAATCAGAGCAGCCTTGACAGGGTTTCCCATGCACAGAACTGCCCCGATGGATGCTGTGCGTCCTCACCATCATGGGCAGTCACCAGTGGGCATGGCAGTCTCTATGGTACGAACTCTCTGCCTCCAGGCCTGCTGGGGCCACACTCACAGCTGTGTGAGAGAGACCTGGGATGGATATGAAAGGTGGAAGACTACAGGAAGTGGGTAGGTTCAGCCCCTCTGGAACACAGGGCAGTTGCCCTTGGGCATGGACAATCTGTACAATTGACTTTGGTGCCTTGGGCCAGCTTTAGTCTTTCTACCTCCCAGTCCCAGGACCCCACAGTTGCAAATCCACAGAAGTGGGAAAGACCAACTGGCTTTATGTATATTTGCTTCTGT